AGAGTTTCTCCTTCTGCAGACATTCTAGGCACTAAGACTTCACCACTGTAGGTCTCCTCTGCTCTTACTTAACTGCTTATACAACTTAGACCTCAAGAATAGCACAGCACAGCATGACGTGGCTCATTTCTGATGCACAGGTGATCTTTCCTTATTTTCCTGGGTGTGGGTCCTTGTCCTTTCCACAACACCATACAGGGCAGAGCAAATGACAACCTATACTTATCATATTCTCTTTGTCTTTTTCTCATTCATTCTTACAAAGTTAATGTCACATGGACCTGGTCAGAAGTATCATAAGTTCTGTATTATTTATTCATTTGCTCACTTGTTGGTCTGTTTATTTATTCTATAAATATTCATTGAGAGTCTGTTATGCACCAGGCTCTGTGCTAGGTAGTGAGGATGTAGTGTACAGCAGACTAACAGTCCCTTCTCTAAGGGAAGGAGAATATGAGACAAACCAACTAACACACAAGTATGTAACTAGAAAATGTGTTGAGAAACGGTGAAACAATGAGTGTGACAGATGGAGTGGTTCAGAAAAGATTCCCTGAGAAGGTGACATTTAAGATAAGGCCCAAGAGGTTATGATGTAGACATTTCCTGCTTTTGTCATCCTCAGTCAACTTTCCTTTGGCCTGGTAGCAACACCCTAACAATCATCTTGGGGGCTTTCATTCAAGTTATCCCATTCTCCTTTGGCTGAGGGAGGGCTTGTGACTGAGCTAGGTAAAGCTGATTTCCTTCCAGGGCTTGAAATCTGCAGCAGAGTGATGCAAGATCAAAAAACTGGAACAGGTTGTTTCCGTGACAGAGGCTTGACAAGGTGTTTGTTTGTTCATCTTAGATTCTGGGAGCCATCCTGATTCTTGACCTTCCTAAAACTTGGCTGAAGACATTGTGAATTACCTGTTTTCCAATATTTTTTTTTTCCTGTTTATACTATTCCCTGAATTACTTTCTATTGCTTGTAACCACAGAACTACAGTGGGTTAGCAAAGTGAAGCGTTTGGGAAGGCATATCAATATGTGCAAAAGGCTTGAAGTGGAGAAGAGCTTGTTAGTTTGAGAAACAGAAAGAAAAGGCAGCAAGGCAGAGCAATAGAGTGGAACGAACGCCTCTGTGGGAGCAAACTTCACCAGAACTCACCAGGTTATGAGAACATATTGAGTTTGGATTTTATCCTAAATGCAAAGAAAAGTTGTAAGCAACTTTATTTTAATAGCAAAAATGTCAAAAAGGTAAACAGAATAGTTCAACAGTATTAAGACCCTGTTCTGTTCTGAGCTAGATCCAGAACCCTGGGAATTCATAAGGCTCTTATCTCTCTTTACCCCAGTTTTCTCATCTATAAAATGAGGTGGTAGGTTGGATGATTTCATACTTCCCTTCCTTTTCTGATGTTTTGTAATCTATGATGAAACCTTGTTAATAATCTTAATTGTCATCATGGAGTTGACAATAAAGTGGGATAAACACATCCAACCTCCATGTTACTTATTATTTGCGTTCTAAGCAGGTATGTTTAAAGCTTCTGGTAGTTTATAAGCTGATTTTGCCAACCCACTGTCATGTTGGCTGCAAAAGGATTTTGAACAGTTCTAGGCTCAATAACCCATTCAATAAAGAACTCTGAGAGAGTGCATTTACATAAATGTGATGCTCTTCTAAGCTTAGATGTAGTGACTTCTAACTGAATGCTTCATGACAGAAAAACACTATCAAGAGTACCGATTCTTAGATGAATTTCGCCAAGACTGTAAGTATAGAATTGTCTATGAGTGATGTTATGTATTGGTTATCTGTTGTTGTATAACAAACCACCCCAAAACTTATTGACTTAAAACAACAATTTTTTTTTTCTTGAAATTCTGGAGTTGGCTGGGTTATTTTTGGCTGGCCTTGCCTGGGCTCAGTCATGTGGCTGAATTTAGCTGGCAGGTTGCACAGCTGTGATAGTGAGTCTTTCTTTCCTTGGGATCTTCCATTTTTAAGGTGGTTGGACCAGGTTTCTTCACTGCATCCTTAGGGCAGCATTCCAGGAGAGCAAGGAGCAAGACACAAATGCTTCATTTATCAAATATCATATCTGCCCATGTCTCAGTGGCCAAAGCAAATCACAAGGTCAACATAGGCAGAGACCACACAAGGGCACCTTGACAGGTGGGCTTCATTAGAAGCCATTATTGTAATAAAGTGTGAACTTTCTCTCTAAGACTTGCATTGCAAGATATGCAAATTTAAGTTGTAAATTATGGCACTTTCACAAAGATAATGTGTATATTATTAGGAGTATGAAGGAACATTTGGAGTCACTTTACTAAGGTATCGAATCCTCCATTAATGGCTCTGCTTGCCTCATAAAATCATTAATTTTTACCAGTGGCCTTGGGAAGTTTTGTACATAACACTTAGAGAAAAATAGCGTTAAAATGACAATGGATTAAGGCAATCCACACTGTGATGCTTACTAATTTCACATTAGCCACATCCCATGTTCTTGCACTCCTTCTATTCTAGTATGGAATAAATTTATATGCATGCCTGTCTCATCTACTAGAGCTCAAACTTCTTTGAGGGCAAAGGCTTAACCTCACTCATGACTGTTTCCCTCAACTTTCTTCCACCTACAACACTAAATAGATACTTCTTAAATACTTGCTGAATAAACTAATCCATAACTGGATTAAACCTCTATCTGTTCTGGGGATTTCCCTCAGAGGTCTCATTTCTTTCCTGGGATCATTTCTTCTTTCAGTGTTACAGCTGATGGGATTGAGGTGTAGAAAGCCTGAATGAATGCCCTGGGATTGCAGCCAGGGTCCCTTTGAGGAAAGTCACTGCACTTCTGTGTGGACCAGGAAGACAACTTCTTGTAAAACTGTGTTTGAGAGAATGTTTGAAAGAAGGACAGGAAGAAATCAGGAAGGGGCAGTACACAGCAAGGGCCCTCAATCTGTTTACTGGCTCTGACATCCATAAATTAAGCACTTGTTGATGAAGAGATTGACCACAGAAGCCCAAGTGGAAAATCTGTAGAAGAGAGGGTTCTACAGCTCTTATAAACACCAAGACCTGTTCCTAAGTGTGTAGGGGAGAAGGGGCAAAGGCTTGCTTCCAGGGCTGACTTGCTGGGAAGGTGATTGTCCACAGTTGAAAAGGCAGCTATTATTATAATACATGTTGCATTTTTTTTTAAAATCATTGTTAGATCATTAATAATACAAGTAACCTCCATTTGCATACTATCATACACATCAAGAGGAGTGTGTACATCCCTTTACAATGAACGATCTCAATTAATTCTCACAATAACCTTACGAAGTAGGTTTTTTTATTCTTAATTTATAGGTGAGATAATTGTGGTCCAGAGATACTAGCTTTCCTGAAACTGCCCAGCTTCTAAGTGGTTGATTTAAAACCTAAGTGTGTTTCACTAAAGTTCTGAATAACATTTAGCACTGGGCCTTGGGCAGCTTTGGTGCTGGTCTGAGGCGAGGAACTGTGAGAGTCTCATTTATTTATGCTAAATTGAGCACACATGTGCACGTGTAATTTACAAAAAAAACAACTCTAGGCCAGCATTTCTAACCGCTGGTGGCATAAAACCGAGTTGGGTAGAGAGCAGTAAAAATCTCTACTCCTTTGCTCACTCCACAAGTATTTATTGCGCACTTCGGAATTCCAGGCAGGACTCTGACCTAGCCTTAGGAGAGAGAGCGGTGAGCACGCTACACGTGGTGTTGCTCCCTTACCCACCCCGCTCGG